TGGTATTCCAATGTCCTTTAGGATGTCAGAGATGACGGGGATGTGAATCTTTGTATCCAGAAGACCGATCGCACTGTCAGCGAGGTCGATGAGAACCGTGAGCAAGGCGTCGACGACGACCTGGACAGTGGACAGCATGGTGACGCCTACGATCCGGACGAGCTCTTTCAGCACCGCTTCAACCGTCATAGACGAGAATCCCTCGGCCAAGCTTTTGAGTTGAGCATATGCATCCGAGAGAGTCTGGCCCTCTTTCTCAAGCACGTCAAGAAGATCGTTGATGGCCTGATGCGACGCATCCCGTGCCATTTTGGGCGTCGTCCCCACGATTGTTAGATTCGCGCCATGGTTCTTGTAGTGAGTCATCATCATCTGAGATCCCGAGGTGTGGCCCTTTGCAGGATTCGAGGCGCTTGCTCCTGTCGGTTGTGAGGCCTTGCTGCCGAGCGTCTTTGAACAGTCCGGGATACCCGCCCAGTTCTTGACTTTCTCCTCGGCGTTGGCCATCTGCACATCAAACATGGACTTGGTTGTCTGGATAGAGTCTACCTGGCTGCTCAGCCACTGCCTCGTCATGTTGCAAAGGACCTTCTTGGTCCGTTCGATGTCATCCCAATCATAGAGAAACTCGACGAAGGACATGACCTTCTTGACGCCAGTCTTGATGGCGTTGAACACCCACTCCACCGCCCCGACAATGGCTTCAACCGAGGTCAGTGCGGTGCGATATACCTTGCCGGAGATGGTGGCGACAAAGTGCCATGCCTCACTTGCGCCATCCTTGATGATGTCGACGACATGTTCAACGTCGGACTTTAGCCAGCGGAAGAGGTCGCCGGCCGCAATGGCTACATTGTGGGCTAGGCTGTCGACCGAAGATGAGGACGTATATAGGGTGTGTGGAATTACGCTCATGCAAGATGTTGGGGTGACTGTCGACTCGACGAGCCCGTAAGTTGTACCGAGTCTGCTGAGGCTGTTCGCGACGTTGGCCACATCACTTGACGACACAGACCCATCTACAAGAGCCGTCCATGGAGTTGGGCCCCTGATGCCGCCAGCGAACGTCTTGGTTGGTACTTTGGCGCCTCGGAGGGCTTCCTCGCTACTGAGCGCTGCTACCGTCTGGAACGACTTCTCCATAGGATTTATGGTAATCCCAGCCCCTCCATTGTCGCAAATCACTGTCATGACAGTGCCGTTAATGCTGTTCTGCAGGGCCTCAACGACGGTCAAGCTCCCGGTTGCATCCGTGAACACCGGGACATGTGCCGGCCCAAGGACGTAGTAGAGCCCGTTTATGTACACGGGCGTGCGAGAACTGGTAGAAAGCAATACTTTGACGCCAGGAGCTGGGAGCTCGTGTTCATCGAGGACTTGGATCGTAGTCGTGTACGACTTGAACTCCAGCGGCTTAGCCTTAGGCTCCGTGGCCTTGAGCTTGATCTCATCTGCAACCCACAACTTTGCGTCGTTACCGGTAGTCTGCGTCAACCTCTCGAGTTTGCCGGAGCCGGATGTGAAAATGGCCCGGCCGCCGTCGCTACGGTTGAGGTACGGCGTCATGTGCTCTACGCCAAACACGATTGGCACAGGGACGCTCCACGCCCCCTGGTTGCCGAGCTGGCTGGACGGGCACGAGAGGTAGTACACCTCGTTGCTGGCATTCTTGCCCCAGATTGTCGTCACACCCCCGCGCGTCATGGCTGCGAGCTCTTTGGTGCCCGAAAGGACGTTGCTGCTGAGCAATTGTGTAGCCACTGACCCGTCAGTCTGGCGTTCGGCTGGGAAATAGAAGAGAGTCGAGTTGCTGACGGCGAACAAGTCCGTCGTCCCGTCCGGAGACGCGAGAGAGCCGGGTCTGCGAGCGGCAGCGATGGCAGAAGCCTGCGTCTCTGTCGGCAACTCGAGGCGGCACGGCAACGGAGGTCCGTCACCGAAGGCGTTTTCAATAGGCACGTAGACAAGCTGGGCCGAGTCGCCGGCGGTTCCCAGGGTGTACACCCCGTCAACAAACCCGTAGGCCACTCTGCCCACGCAACTCTGATAGTAGCCCTTCTGAATGTCGACCGGAAGACCATGCAAGGTCCAGGATCTACCGGACGTCTTATGAGGGTTGATGTAGTAGCGAGCAATGTCCTTGTCTGCCTTGTTTGACGAGCGGTCGACGTCGACAATGATGTGCTGCCGGCTTCCCTGAGGCTCAGCGAACATGACGCGGACAATGTTGATAGACTCCGAGCCAGCATGGCCTTCTGCATCAAAGTCGATTGTAGACCACTGAGGCTTCGCCGTCCAGGATGTGTCGGAACTGGAGTTGCCGAGAGAGAGCAAGAGCTTGTCCGAACCCCCCTCAGATACCACTAGAACCATCCCAATGGTGCCGTCTGTGACGCTCTGTCCCACATCAAAAGTGCGTACTGATGTGGAAGCAGACGAGAGGGGCGAGAGAGGCATGCGGACCCAGCCGGTCTCGGTGGCGCGGCTCTGCTCCATGATCACATTGAAGACGTTGTCCGTGCTCAGTGAGAAGAGTAGGGAGTGGCCGTCGTCAGTTTGGAGAGCTTCGAACTTGGCTGTAGGAGCCACGATCTCTCCCTGAATGTAGTTCTGAATGAGATCGGTCGTGTGGGCCATGGAGTATGCTGGTGGACCGGTGGCTTCAGGAAGCTTCCGTGCGGGTCTCGTCGGAAGATTGTCCGACGAAGGGTCGGTAACTGGGGCGTCTGCCCGAGGCGGCGGCTGGAAGGGCTTGGTTGGCGCCGCGTAGGTGATGTCGCAGATCAAGTCTTGGTGGTTGGAAAATCTGGCTGATGTATACGTGAACACCTTGCCACCGGGGAACACGAAGTTGTGAGGCGTAGCAAACTTGACACTCCCCAGCTCCAGGCTCACTAGATCTGTAACCTCGGTCTTGATCTGGTTGAAGTGGTCGGTGATGCCTGCGTATAAGTTTCCCCAATAGTTTGGCTCGGGGGACTGCGGATTGTCTTGTTTCTGAAACTTATTCTTGTCACGTTTGATATTCAACTGGCCAGTCTGGTCCACTGACAAGTCATAGGTGTCGGTGATGGTGACGTCGTATACATTCAGTGGTGACTGTGTGAAACCCTGGCACATCAATGAGACAACGACCCACAATCGCTGGCCGATGGTAATGATACTCCCATTGACCTTTACCTCACAGTAGTAGTGAGGGACGACTTCGATGCTGTCGTAGAATCGACCCAACACCTCTGACTTCTCGCATTTTGTATTGGAATAGCCCTCGGCCGACCAAGTAATGTCAATAATCCATTCACCGTCATCATGGCTTCGCACATTCCTGGTTTGTGGCCATTGATCAGAAAAAAACTGTATCACTGGGTTCCAGTTGCCCAGATAGTCGATAAATTTGATGTCAACTTTGGAGGTAAGGCAAGACTTCCGAGCAGATGGCAGGATGATGTTCATCAACTGCTCGGCGAATACCCTTCGCTTAATGGCAATGACACCACTTTCGCTCTTCACATCCCAGGGCTGGACCCAGTTCCAGTAAGGATCCGAGGCTTTTGGAGCTCCGTGACAGTTCGTCATGCAGAGATGGTTGAGTGTCGCTGCGGCAGCCTGTTCGGGGGTCGGATTGTTGACGACACAAGCATTGGAGTCCTTGTACCGACTGATGCCCACTTCAACCGAAGTCACTTGGAGTGTGGAAGGATCCGGATGGTCTTCAGCAACGGCGGCAACTGCAAGTATCGGTTGTCCGTAGCTCTTGGCTGCTTTGCTGTAGAGGTCGACGAAGTTCTTCTGCAGGATTTCTAGGACGGGTGAACCGGCTGAAATCCCCACGAAATTGGGTGTGCTTTGATCGGCAGCAGTTTCCAGATCCATAAGAGTTTGTTGAAGGCTGTAAGACCTGCTGGGGGGAAGATAGTTGAATTGAGACTTGAGGTTTCCCTTGAGCTCTGGGCGGTGATTAAAGTAGGGTGTCTCGAGGCCCCAGTCAAGGCTCTTATTGAGGATGTTGACGTCCGTCTCGATATACCACGGCGATCCAGAGGGCTGGTTCCAGACGTTCCAACGTCCATTTGCGGATGATCCTTCGCTAGTCGTATTCTGAATAACCTGGAACTCGGAGCAAAACATTCGGAAGAGAGACTTGCCGTCACTCTTGCCGAGCTCCAGGACTGGAGGAAGCTCCTTGGGCATTACGCCTGGGGGCACACCAATGCGAATCTGCACGCCAGCGACGAAGTTGTTTCGAGTGAGCTCTTCAATTCGAGGGTCATTCGGCGATGCACCATCTAGGATCTCAAACGGGTTGACCCCGTCTGTCCTCTTCAACAGTTCATCGAGACTGATCTGGGTTGTGGCGTTTCCGTTATTCGAGTCCTGTGGCGGCTATGTAAGCAGTTGGTCGATAATATTGATCTCCCACCTGACATTTTGCCATAATTTTTCATCTGGGAATACTTACTGAGATAAAGCAAATATAGTTAGCCGGCTGGTTACTTTCCCAGAGATATTCCAATAAGCCAGAGTTGATGCTGGCTTGAGTTGTGGTGACCACGAAATCATATCCGTATCTGAGGTCTGTAAGGTTGGAGTTGCTGGCGTCCATTGCTAAGAGCTTGAATAAGCGAATATGGTATTGCAAAATAGTTGATCTGATTAAGAGATGGCATAGAAGTCCTTCGTATTATTTGCTCACGACATGCACGGAAACTCGTCTTATTATACGCCATTATAATCACCTTACTTATGTGGGACTGTCTTTCACGAACACCCGTCAAGCTCTCATGCCCTGCTTATCACCATGTATGCGGTCGCCACCGCTTAGATACCCGATTCTCTGTCCATAACTCGGCTGGAAACAGCCTCTTGCACCGATTTGGCTTGGATACTCGCTCATCCCTACTAGCGAGTTCAGCTGTAGTAGCCACAAACTTAAATCAAGTTCATACCTCGCCACCGACGGCTTGCCTACGACTCCAAGATCGCAAATTCAGTGCCAATATTTAAAAGTTTATCGGGTGAAAACTCTTCTTCTTCTGAGCGAGTAGTTGATATGTCGTAGTTTTCGCTTCAACACCACTGGATTTTTCAAAAAGCACTTTGATCCCCACTAATTTGTGTATTGTGTCTTCGACCGATGAGTCGCGACCTGCAACAAAAGCCATGGTGGCAGGTAAGTCTATGCAAGTCTTTACCTTCTCTCAACTAAATGCAGATACCTAAACTCACACTGAGAATCGTGATATGATTCACTTCACATGATAAGACGCCCGTTTTGCCACAGCAGATTCTCAGGGGGCTTTTCCCATATTCCAAGCACATTTTAGACACTTTGAGGCGTCAGATGATCCAAGGCTAGCCGCCAAAGCCTAGGGCATAGGTATGCACGTATGCTAAGGTTATCTTGGAGCTGAAGGGATTGCCAAGACCGATCATTCATTAGGGCAGCCATGTCTCGTAGGTGGCAGAATATCAAGACAGCACGGCGTTCTTGCCCACGTCCCAAGCTGCATAACCCCGCTGCAAATGACATACGGTGAGGCCTTCTCGGTCGCCGCCACATATCCGTAGTGTACGTTAGACAGCTTGTCATCATTGTCGGATCTGCGTATTTCTGAGACAGAAGGAGATCTTAATAACGCATGCATACCATCGAGAGGAGGCGAGAGAAATGAGCCGGCCCCATTCCCAGACATGGAATAGAAAGTTACTTCATGTTCCACAGAACCCAGAATCACGGGAAACATTGTTGCCTCGCGGAACCAGCCGTGAAACGAATCTATCACCCCGCAATGGCGGCTGTTCTAGACTTAGTCTACAACTCAAACGTGAAGACTTTGGCTGAGGATTTGGGAGCGCCTTGCGCCACTGATCGACAAGCGCGCCTCGAGAAATCCTCAGCGCCCGTCCAGGCGACTGAAATGTCTCACCCGCATTTAGCAGCTGCTCGACTAGTTCAAACCCCTTTCAATTTGCAAAAACAAGGGCACAGAATGGAATCCATCTCTATTGACTTTGTCGTCCCTAGCCAACGTTCTCAAGTTCTCATTGCCGAAGACGTATTCCTGTACGCATCCGCTTGGTGTCATCGTGGATTATTCCCCAAGAGAGCCATGAGAGAGCCACCTCAATTTATTGATAAACCATGCAGTTCCGATATCGATGAAACGTCCGTTATATCAACTCAATCTGTTGAGTCCCGCATCAATTTTGATTGCAATGTGATTGTAACGAACACATCGTCCGTGCCAACAACTCATGTTACCTTCATAGATTGTAAAGGGCCATCTACCTTCGGTTTCAGGCCTGAAAACTATATGTCGGCGGACTTCACACTGATGAATATGGCACAAGAGACATAGAGGCTGTGCTATTGACGCAGTAGTATCTCTTACCTAGTAAAGCCATATTTAAATAACTTTACTTCCGCCCCCAAACCAGATATTTATCTCAAGCGAGCAGAAACAGATCCTTGCCAACTGAAAGTCAAAGCGCTTTCAAGTGCCAAAGTTCAACTATTGAGGATGAAGACAGGACCAAGCCGGCTGCCGGAAGAACTTGAGATCGGAAAATGCGTTCAAAGCCGCTTGTTGGAAAGTTGTCCAGTTAAAAAAATGATTATCCCGTCGGTCGACCTATCTGTACACGTGATTCTAGTCGCTTTCAATCACTGCAAATTAATATCGAAACATTGCGATTCTCTCGTTTAATTTGGTCGGAAGTCCCGTCCCGTTGCCTCGTTGATTACCAATTCGCTGACTGGGAGTGCGAAAGCAAAGAATCGATAAAATTACTCAGTGAAGAAGTTCTTTATGGTCCGATCCCTAGGCAACTTGGTTCTCGTACCTGAATGATCCTGGAACTTGTTGGATGACAGGGCGGTTTCAGACTCCACGCAGCTGATGGCGCCCGTCATTCAACCCTTCTCCCTGATGCTGACACGAGTCATCGCCAAGATGGAGATAAAAGGTCTGCCTTTCTGTGATCCGTTCCCGAAGCCGAGCTGGATTAGCGGCTTCACTTAATAGCGGCTCGGTTTTAAAGTCAGCAGGTTACTCGCAAAGCCCTACAGATTTAGAGTTCAGAGTGAAACAACAGAGTCATACAGCATGCCATGACCCGTTCATCCCGTCGGGAGTTTCAATCAATTTGATACCATTCTTTCCTCATCTGAAGTTTATCGAGAGCTGCGGAAAATTCGCTGAATTCAATTAAAGTACATAAGTAAGCTTAATCGCAGCTTGTTCGTCTCAAGAAAGCAAAACAATCATCATCAACAATACCATACGCCGAGCCTATCAATTTCGCTTCCAACCAGTCAACATGAAGTTCATTCTCCTCCTCGCTTCCGCCGGAGCCGCCATGGCTTTTGTCGAGTGCCGTACACCTTCAAATGCTGAGGTCAGTCCCGATCTGAGACTTGCTAATTGTAAAATTCCCATAGCTGACCTTTGTAGCTTTTCAAAAACTGCAAGACTCAAGAACAGCGAGATGGCTGCAAGGGCCAGTGCATTAAGCATGTAGGTTACTCATTCGGACTTATACTCAGAATTCGAACTAAACATCTTCATAGTGCTCGGACACAACCGCAAACTTGGCTGTCTGCATTGAGTAAGTCTACCTCCACGGACTCATTGATGTTATCAATGTTCTAATGAGTGCAACAGCAAGGCGAACAACGACTTTGACTGCGTCTGCGGAACCCAGGCTGGCAGAGGTCCTGGATTCAACTAGCTTATGACTTTGTCTCTGGATTTTCTTTTTAATGTAGATAGAGCATGGCGTGCCTTGCATTTGACTAAGAGAACAAAAAGTTTCACTCGAGAGCTACCTCGATTCGCCACAACTATCATCGATCGCTTTATCATTGAAACTTAGACAATATCTCCGTAGAAGTTGCATGTTCCCGAGTTCGATTCGATAACACCAGCTCCATAGCTCAACCCCCTTTACATCCTCTATTCTGAGACTCTACACCGTATCCTTACTTTAAGGTCGTCGAATGCGATGAATAGAACTGCCCTATAGCTGGAGCTTCGAGAAGTTCGAGGATGTTTGTTTGCCCTGGCTGCGGGAATCCTGTTATGTCTCCGCTGGCCGGATGCAGTAACCCCCGATTCACTCCTTGCAGCTGGAGGAGGTCCCTAGAGCCTCCAAGCTTCTCATGGGCCATTGCACTTACTAAAAGTCTATTGAGCGGGAATTCGAACTTCACCTACAAGCAGCGAAAGATCATCTTAACACGGTTTACCAGAGTCGACCTCGGCTTGTTTCGTAAGTTAAATCAGCATGCTCGCCAGCGGAGCTTGAACCTACACAAACGTGTCACAATCTTTCCTGTCAGAGACCTCGCATGGAGATCGCTTGCTGTTGATACTGAAATACACACGCTACCGAACGACTGAACTCCTGTCTTCATGCCAGCCCCAACTCGCAAAAGTCGCGCGTCTGAAAATATTTACAGTAGAAATGAAGAAAACCAGGCAAGGAACTAGGCCTTGAACTTCTTGAAGTTACGTCCACCATCAGCCAGCGCCGTCATGTTGGTGTTGCCAACCTTGATGTACTCCTTCTCCTTGGGAATCGCAGCAATCACTTCGTCAGAGAGGCCAAGGGTATCCTTGACGACCTGCTTCGGGGTAAGGGCCAACCATTGTGCAACGCTGATGTCCGAGAACTTGGGCGCTTGAAGGACCTCAAGGAAGATGACGTCCTCGGTACCAGTGTTCTCGATGTAATGACTGTCACCAACCTTCACGTAACCAACATCGCCGGCGGTGAAGTCAAAGGTACGCGAGGCCTCAGGGGCTTCAAAGATGGTGATGCGGCCGGAGCCCTGCAAGAAGTAGTTCCACTCGTCGCTTGTGGTGTGCCAGTGGATCTCGCGCATGGCGCCGGGCTGGACGACGACCAGGGCAGCCGAGAAGTTCTCCGCAATGGGGAACGTTTGCGGGTCGAGGATCTTTACGGAACCGCCGGGGACTTGGAAGGGCTTCTGCTGCGACCAATGATAGGTGTATGATTCAGCACCAGTCAGCGATCCTGCTGATGAGGTCTGATTCTGCTTCTCAATGTCTTTCGGCGCAGGTGTGCCATTGAAGATCTGGAAATGAGTAAGCTAATGCATCAACGTGCCAAATCGTCTTTTGACTTACATAAAGCTGATCCTTGGGGATCTTGTCAAATGCAGAAACATCCGTCTTAAGGTTCTTGGAAAGAACGGACAATGGGTTTCTCAAGAATAGCTCAGAAGCGAGAAACGTGTTCTCTTCGCTGAAGCTTCCCTGGTCGAAGACGAGGAGGAACTCTGTGCCTTGGTCGAACGCCTGAATGCTGTGAGGAACACCCTTCGGGAAGAACCATACATCGCCTATGTAGCTTGGTTAGCTTTATAATAAAGATAAATCAGGTCGAGCTAGACATACCCTCGCACACATCGTCGACGAAGCTCTTTCCATCCTCATTCATCGCTGCGATGCGACAACATCCCTTGAGCATGAGCGCCCACTCAGCCGAGGTGTGCCAGTGAAGCTCGCGGTAAGCGTTGGGCTGCAACTTCATATCGACACCCGCCATCGCAGAAGCGACAGGTAGGACTTTAGTGTTCTGCTGCCGCGCCCAGCCGGCGCCCTCTTGGCTGCCGAGACGGTTATGCGAAAGGCCCAACGGCCACATGGCGTTCTCGACATCGCCCTTGTCGGTGCCGGGCGGGGCGAAAAGATCGGGGTTTAGCTTCTCATAGTCGTAGGTTCCTGCGGGAATTATGTGTTAGCGCATCTCTTCCCTGCAATGATCCATCTCCCTTCAACGCCTCCCCGCTAGGGATGCAACGTACTTGGGCCCGGGTCCGGAGATCCTAGTCCGCCGCGGATCGGTTGCGGGACGTCGACACCATCAAAGTTCAAGTACAGGCCGAGCTTTCCGTCTGCTTCCTGGCCGGGCACGAGTGTAACGTCGTCGACATTGGCGGAGCCGCCAGTTTCGGGGTCAGGTCGCGCTGCGTTGCCTCCGAGAAGGCTAGAATCTCCTCTAAGACTTCCCGTAGGTGTAGTTACGGTGGGGATGGGCGGATCGACACCGCCAACGGGGCCTTTGTTCTCGCCATAGTCTCCCATTCTATTCAATTGTTGGCACACTCTCCTAGTAATTGTGTGCTCGTGGGAGTACTTACTGTGGTGCCGGAACGGCATGGCTCTGCGGCAGAGCCGCAAGCAAGCTAGCGAGGAGGAAAGCACCGTGGGTATACATCGTGATGGAGAATAAACTGGAAGCAGACGAAGTCGAAAAGATTGCTCTGTAACGAAAGACTGATTATTGAGTGCCTGTTTCCAAAATGATCTGAAAGGTGATGATTCTGAGATGAAGCACAATCCCTTACAGACCGGATTGAAGGGCCTTCTTATACCTCGCATTCGCCATAAGACGAACTTAGAACCTGCCTCCAAAGTCACCTAGGTAAAGCACACAAACGACACATGATGGCTCCCGAGCTAGCTATGCCGTGCCTTGACCATCTGCCAGTCTACTTCCCCTCACCCCATCCATGCCATCTACTATCACAAGGCGGAGAGGAATTCGGCGGGACCGATTAAGCTCCCAGCCTTGGCGTCCGGACCGCGATATGTGGATGACATGGGGCTAGCCGCGTGGAGCACGAGCAGTACAGTAGAAGCCGGGGGCAATAGTAGTATAGATGACGCGTTTTCGCTCTTTTAGGTCTATCGCGAACCGTGAGACGGTTAGCACG